CCCTCTGTTCCTGCTCTCTCAAAAAATAAAATCTTTTTAAAAAGTGGTATTAATCTACCATCATTCCAAGATCTCTGGAGGAAATATGCTACATAAACAGAAAGTACAACTAAGTGCATAAAATAGCATCAACCCTACTCTAGCTCCTGCCACAGCTTACTACAGCAGAACTGGTATCAGGTAGGCAAGGCAAGTGTTTGCCATGGGCTCCTAAAGCACATAAGCATTAGCCTTTTTGACTTAAAGAAGGTCCACCTGCTTGCTAAGTCTCTTCTAAACTGTACCAAAAAGTTCTAGAATAAAGAATATAATCAATCCAATGCAGTGAGTGGTTCTCCCAATTCAGGGCACATCAAAATCACACAGATGACTTGTTAAAGCAATGATGGCTGGGACTCTTCCGCAGAGTTTATGATCTGGTAGGTCTAAATCGGGCTGGAGAATTTGTATTTCTTTCTTTCTATTTCCTTTTTTTGTCAGAGAGAGAGAGTGCACAAGTAGGGGGAGCCGTAGGCAGAGGGAGGAGCAGGCTCCCCGCTGAGCAAGGAGCCCAATATGGGACTAGATCCCAGGACCCTGGAATCACGACCCAAGCCCAAGGCAGAGAGGCTTAACCGACTGAGCTAGCCAAGCATCCTGAGAATTTATATTTCTACCAAGGTCTGAGGTAGTGCTGACACTGCTGGTCCAGAACCCACTCTGAGAACCACTGCACTACTGTTCACAGAAGCTGTTCATTGTAGTCTTTATCTTGCAAGATTTCTGCTGACCACTTAACAATAAAATACATCAATTGTATTATCAGTTTTTCAACTTTTTATTGAAAATCATTTCCAAGTTACAAAAAAGTTGCAAGAATAACAGCACAAAGAACACACGCATGGACCTGTTACCCAGATTCAGCTATTGATATATTTTTGTTTTGTTTTTCTTTTTTGTTTATTTTTTTATTACGTTATGTTACCATACAGTACATCATTAGTTTAGGATGTAGTGTTCCATGATTCACAGTTTGTGTATATAGCTACTGACATACTTTGTTGTATCTACCGTATCATTCATTACTCTCTTCCTACCGTCCATACACAGCAAGTATTTTTCCCTAAACCACATGAGAGAAAAAAGCATACAACTTGGTCCTCTACCCCTAAAAACTTCAGTTTGTACTTCCTAACAAGGATGTTCTTCTATACAAATACAGTAGATATCAATTTCAGTGAATTCAACATCCATACACCACTACCACAATCCATACGGAGGAGTTCCATTCCGCCCAAAAGTCCCTCATGCTTCCACTTTACAATTGACTCCTCCCCCAACACCCTGGCAACCACTACTTTCTACTCCTTTTAATTTTGCTTTTTCCAGAATATCATAGAAATGGCATCATGTTGTATGTAGTCCTTTTAAAAATTATGATCAAATACACATAACATAAAATACACCATTTAACCGTTTTGAAGTGTGCAATTCAGTGGCATTTAAATACATTCACAATGTTATCCAGCCATCCCCACTACCTGCTTCCAGAACATTTTTATCACCCCAAAAAGGAAACTCTATACCCATTAGGCAGTCACTCCCCATCTCCCCCTTCTCCAGCCTCAGACAACAGCCAAGCTACCTAATTTGCTTTCTTCTTCCATGGATATGCCTATTCTGGATATTTTATGTAAATGGGATCATACTATATGTGCTCTTTTGTGCCTGGCTTCTTTCACTCAGCACAATGTGTTCAAGATTCATCCAAGTTATAGCATGTATCAGTTTTTCATTTCTTTTTATGGCAGTGTGTAGCCTTTTCAATCTGGTTTCTTTTACTCAGCACAATACCTGAGATTCCTCCACATTGTTACGTACGTGTGTAGTTTCGTCATTTTTATTGCTGAGTAGTATTCCACTGTAGGCACACCAAAGCTTGTTCATCCAGCCACCAAATTTCACTCTCAATACTTTTCCCAGGAAGGTAATCATTTCACTCAAGGTAATTTACAACTAATGGGGTTATATTTGCAAATGGCAAAAGAAAAACTCGAATATATATCACATATGTAGCTTCACAACTCCTTATCTGCAATCTCCAAATCCCTTAAATATTAAGTGTTTTGGAAAATTTTCAAGTCATCTGAAGTCATTTGGAGACAAACCCTGACCTGTGGTATACTGTGTCTCTTTACAGTCTTTATAGTCCTCTCAGTGAGAATATTCACATATTTTGGTGAAGTATTATTATGACTGATATACATCCCACTGCGGGATATAATTCATATTTGATCTATGTACCACACTGCCTTTCTGTATTCAGAAAAAGTCATAAACTTATTTGACCCCACAGATTTTGGATAAAAGTTGTGGCCCTGTATTCACACAGCCCTAAATGAAACAAAAATTAAATCAATGATTACCAGAGTCAGTGAACAGGCATTATCTTTTCTCTCCATTATAGACTGGTTCCCCATTACACCAACTAAACCTCTGCCCTACAGTCCCCTTCTTATGAGCAATGTCCATCCTGCATGGTCTTTGCAGGTTATTATAAGCCTAAAGAAACTGACTGCCATTTATGAAAGTTACCTCTTCTACTAAAATACACATAAAGTCTTTTAACAAGCAAATGTTAAAAACATTCTTAAAACATCTGATTGCTTCAAGGCATATTCTTCAGCAGATATATGGCTGCACTGCTCTGAAACCTAAATGACCCCTTTAACGTTCCTCACCTGAGAAGAGAACGCAGCTGCTATGCATACACATCACAGACACTTACTCATTCCACACATACCGAGAACCCATCAGTGCCAGGGAGAGTGGCAAGCATGAGGGTAACAGGAAGGAACAAGATAGACAAGGCTCCCACTGTCATGGAACTAACTCTCTGGGAGGAATAAGATACACAAAACCACTGAGAAAATACCAGAATGATCGATCCTATGACAACAAACCAGGATATGATGAAAAACCACCAAGGAGTGATTCTGGATTGGATGGTGAGGTAAGGCCTTGAGAGGTGAAACTGAAGCCAAGAACTAAATCCCAAAAGACGAGTGAGGATCAGAGGGAAGGACAGTGCAAAGGCCCTTTCAGAGAAAGAAGTCTGTACTGATCAAGTCTACAGAAAGGTTCAGTGTGGCTAGAGCATAAGAAGAAAAGTGGAGAGCAGTATGGGATGACGTCAAATAGCCAACGGCCAGCTCATGCAGGATTCTGTAAGTCAGAACAAAGAATTGTGAATTTCTTCCAAATGAGATGGAAGACCATTAGAGGATTTTAGGCATGGCAGTTAACATGATCTGACGGATATCTTCAAACATTCATTCTACTTGCCACGAAGAGATGGATCACATGGGACTGGTAATCCAATTCTCTCATTAAAAAAAGAATCATGTATACATATTTAATACACTGTCACTTCATATAATAAAATGCCAAGAAAAGACTGTATTTCCTGAAAGGTGATTTTTTTTTTTTTTTTAAACCACTGTCTTGAATGATTTCACATGAGTATCAATGTCTTTGGTCTGCCAATTATGTTTCTAACAGCTACTATACTATGCAAATTTAAGAACTACTTCTATGGACCTTATACATTAAGTATTACTCTGCTAATAAATCTGACAATATAAAGTCAATGAGTACTAAAGAAATGAAGAGTTTAAGTTGCTATTTAAACTTCAAGACATTTCTACTTTCCTTAAAATACCAGTACTTAATAAAAACACAGTTCATGAAATAAGACCAAAGCTGAGGTTACTGCTGTCAGTTAAAAAGTAACTGTGCCTATAAATTCTACTTTTAGTTCCTAAAGATAATAGTACATCTAGAAAGTGTGTATGAGACACATGCAAAAAAAAAAAAAGACATGAATGTGTAAGAACATTACTACTCTTATGTTTTCACAAATTGAGGATTTTTTTTTTTTTGAGAATTGAGGCTTTTAAAACAAAAAAATACTTAGCTTTCTAGAAAAATATTTACAGAAAAAAATACTTCTGGACTTCACAAAAATACCAAATTATTTCAAGCACAAAAATTTATTTTTATGGATAGTTTCCCTCTGCAGAACCAAACTGAAGAAGCAGCTCTCTAGTTAATACAAAGAAATTTATTCCATAGTAAACTGTTTAGAGGTAAACTATATCCTCAAAATACAGCATAATCTTACTTGAAGTGTTCTTTAATTTGGATTACTAAAATTCTAAGTTCTGTGAACAGATTAATGATCTACTTTCTTCAATTTAAAATCCCACAAGAGATCACTTGAAGATTATCTTCACTTTTAAATCATTTCATATTATATAGACTAAAATATCACTCAATGCCTTGAGTGCCTAGCATTTCACTTTCAGGTTTTTGTACTAAGATTTGAAGGAACTGACCAAACATGATACTCTAAAACACTAGGACAATATAAAAAATTTAATCTGTAGTTCAGACCACAGAGCAGAGGTCAAAGAGAAAGTTATTCTCGATCTATTCATGGGTTTCAACAAATCAGCTGTTGCAGGGCTTCATTCTCAGAACAAGACTGAAAATCCAAGAAACTGCTAATTTGTACAATTTCTCTGGAAAGTTGTAAATTTCAGGCTGAAGCAACGAAATGTAAATTTTTAAACATAGTAAATTTATTAAATCCTGCCAGGCTCAAACATAAACACTCCACCACAATGAAGAACATACATAGTAAATTTAATGATTATATAAAATATATTCAGGGATAAATGCTACGACACTAACTTTCTATCTTAAACGCTACAACACTCACTTTATATCTCATAGGCACCCAGAAGAACTGGAACATGCATCCTCATTGCCCATGTGTGGACAAACAGCCACAAAGAACCACAGCTAAGCCTAAAGTTGGCTGTTCTTTGAAGGCATCAACAGGAGGCTTCTGGAAATCTTAACTGTGGTTTCTTAAAATAACTTTGAGTAGCACATGATGCAGAAATGTGACAAAGACTCTTCCTAACCCAAGGCCACTGGCATGTGCAGAAACTCACCTGTGTTATACTCCTTCAACTCCAAGTCCTTTACAGGCACGCCATCAGGAGTCCGAAAGGCATTAAGAATCTGCAAGAATATGGTGTATACACGAATGATGTAAATCATTAACCAAACACTGAATATTTAATTTTCCCTCCTTGATTTTATTCTATGTAATTTAAGGCTATGATTACTTTATTAAGGCAAAATTAACCCGTGTACATTCTAGGCATTCAAAACTGTTAATGAGCAGAACATAATTACTCAAAAATTCCCAAGTACACAAAAAAGGCAGAAGAACATAACCATCAAGTACCCAAGCTCTGAAATCAGACTGCCTACGTTCCAAGCCTCTCTTGCGGTGTAACTTTTCAGTGCCCAGTTTCTCATCTGTTAAACACAGGATGATGCCCTGGGCTCATGCCAGTCCAGAGCCATGGCACTTAACTCCCTCAGCCTGGTCAGGTTATTTCTCCCATCTTCAGAGGGACTGCTCTCGCAGCATTCAGGCCTGGGCTCAAATGTCATTTCCTTAGCAATACCTTCCCCCAACTACCCAAATGAAAATAGCCCCTAGCTCAGTTACACTCAACACCTTTATTTTAGTTTCCTTTAGATCATTTATCACTGCCTGGAATTATGTTTTTTTGTTTACTTTTTTATTATCCACGGACGCAGTGACTTTACAATACTCACTGCTGTATCACTCAGTGCCTAGCATGTGCTTGGTGCTTTGTATTTGGAAGGAATGAATAAAGAGTATCTATTCCTAGGATGCAGTCATAATTAAAGAACTAATGCTTGTAAGCATCACGTGACGCCTGGCACAGAGTAAACACAGTCTGCTCTTCCTATTATAAAAGCCTGACCAGATTTTCCTGTAAGTTCAGCCATTATTTACTCAGCCAGTCCTTCAACACTGAAGAGTTATGCAGCTTCCAGTTTTTACTACTGTAAATAAACTGCATCTTTATGTATGCAATCCAATGCTCCCTCTGGAATTATGCCTTAAAGGATGATTACCAGGTCTGAGGATAGCAATCATGAACCTCACCTCAGTGAGTGAATGCGTAACTGCTGAAATCTACATAAGTTCTATGGATTGTACCCAAGCCAACTTGCTGGTTTAGCTACTGTACTACAGTAATATAAGACGCTAACGCTGGAGGAAGAACACCCAAAATTTCCCTGTAAGTTTCTTTGCACCTTCCTATGAATCTATTAATTTTTCAAAACAAAAAGTAAAAATAATTTTTTAATTGACAAAAAAAGGAAAAAGAAAAAGGAAAAAGAGCCTTACCTCTTCTTTTGTGGCATTTTCAGGCACCCCACTTAATCGAATAAGCTTGCTTGGTTTTTCCTCATTTGGGCCAGTCCTATAATCTTGATCCTTGAATCCAGAATAAAAAATTATTTCAGAAATAAAAGCATGTTAGTTTGCAAATGAAAGCAAAGATGAAATGCAAGTTCTCAGGATCAAATATCAAAATCAGTTGCATCACATTAAGATATGAAAAATTATAATTCTCTACTTTTCTGAGTTCTAAAATTTGATTTCAAATCATTAGTATATAAGTGTGCTAAAATCAAGGCTCACTGAGGAGTCTTGAAATAGTAAAGCAGAACATTAAGAGAAACAGTGCTGAATAGGACTTATAACCATGAAAAAAAAAAAAACCAAAACCACTAACATTCTCAAAAATATTTTTCACATAATAAATATGTATACATATGTAAATATATATATATGTAAAATTTTCCTTTCCTGAATGAGAAAATAGGAAAAAAAATTTTAATCAGGTGCCATTTGTCAAAGATGTCAACTATAAATAAATTTCAGAACAAAATCAAAAGGTGTCATCTGACCACACAAGAGTACAATTCAGAGAAATCTGCATTTAAAAAAAAAAAGATTTTATTTATTTATTTGACAGAAATCACAAGCAGGCAGAGGCAGGCAGAGAGAGGAGGAAGCAGGCTCCCCACTGAGCAGAGAGCCCGATGCAGCGCTCGATCCCAGGACTCTGGGATCATGACCTAAGCCAAAGGCCGAGGCTTAACCCACTAAGCCACCCAGGTGCCCCAAATCTGCATTTTCTGTATTCACAGAAGCCTCAACTGCAACATCCTCTCTTACTCTTTAAAGTGTCCTGATCTTGGGGCTCTCAGGTGGTTCAGTGGGTTAAGCCTCTGCCTTCGGCTCAGGTCATGATCTCAGGGTCCTGGGATGGAGCCCCGCATTGGGCTCTGCTCAGCGGGGAGCCTGCTTCCCTCTCTTCTTCTGTCAGTCTCTCTGCCTACTTGTGATCTCTCTCTCTCTATGTCAAATAAATAAAATCTTCAAAAAAAAGAGTGTCCTGATTTGAACAATAGTCAATCACCTCTAACATTCTCAAAATTCATTATTTGGTTAACATGTCTTAAGATTACTGTCCAAAGTAACAGAAGCCTGAGTTGAGATGGGGAAAACTTACTTCAAAAGATAATACTTGCATTAACCAACTGCAAACTTAATTCTTTTCACTTATTGAAATTCAACATTTAAGTCAATTAAGTTACCTTAAAAAGATACTTGAAACACTAACATCACCTTCTCATTACTACGGAAAGACTCCTAGGTATTCTGTATATCCTAAATGAGTTTCAGAAAATGCACCGTACTGGCTAGCTCAGTCAGAAGAGCCTGCGACCTGATCTCGGGGTCACGAGTTTGAGTCCCATGCTGGGTGTAGAGATTACTTAAATAAATAAAAATATAAAAAGAAAAAAGTGTACCCTAAACAGCCATAAGGCCTGACTAAAAAGAACTGAGAGAACCAACTCCCAAAGACATTACTTTCTAACTAAATTATCTCAAGGCATTTAAGTCCTCAGCATAAACAAAATAATGAAGAGATATACACCAAAAGTATGAACTGAGCTGAGAGTCACTGCTCTAGAGATGTACATTCCATTCTCGAATATACAATTTTTTTAAAGATTTTATTTTTAGGGGTGCCTTCGGCTTAGGTCGTGACCCCAGAGTGCTGGGATAGAGCCCTGCGTTGGGCTCCCGGCTCACTGGGAAGCCTGCTTCTCCCTCTCCCACTCCCCCTGCTTGTATTCCCTTTCTCGCTCTCTCTCCCTCTCTCTCTCTCTCTCTCTGTGTCAAATAAATACATAAATAAAATCTTTAAAAAAAAAAAAGATTTTATTTTGAAAAGTAATCTCTAGGGGTGCCTGGGTGGCTCAGTGGGTTAAGCCTCTGCCTTCGGCTCAGGTCATGATCTCAGGGTCCTGGGATCGAGCCCCGCATTGGGCTCTCTCTGCTCAGCACTGAGCCTGCCTCCCCCACTCTCTCTGCCTGCCTCTCTGCCTACTTGTGATCTCTCTCTCTCTGGCAAATAAATAAAATCTTTGAGAAAAAAAAAAAAAAAGTATCTCTACACCCAACATGGAGCTCACACTTATAATCCTGAGCTCTAGAGTCACAAGCTCTACTAACCGAGCCAGTCAGGTGCCCCCATTTTGTTTTTTAATGGTTACAGAAGGGGAGACCCAGGACCAAGGATCCTGGACCCTACGCTTCATCCTTCAGAAATGCCTTATGATACAACAAGAAGCAGAAAAGCAATCTACGCTGTTAATATACCTGAAGGTCCCGCTGGGCATCTCGGGAGGTTTTGCCCTCTGGAAAAGACTTGCTCTGACCATAGCCGAATATCTGGCTTCCCGGCAGCCTGTGATCCACATCTCGGTACTCCATGCTTCTGTAATCAGTGTCTTCCCGGCCAAGAAAGTCCAGACCACCTTCTTCTTTAAACACACCAGCATCTGAACTCTGTTGTTCACCTCCAGAAAGTTGTGACTTGTCTTGGTCTTGAAGTGGACTCTGGCTGTTTTGAAAGTCCGATGTGGACTCATGTTCAAAGGCTGCATCTTGTTTTTCTCCTTCTCTTGTTTCTGAATGTTCAAATTCTCCCTTCTGAATGCCAAAAGCAGGCCTTTCTGTTGTATGGTCATGTGTGGATTCTTCTCTCTTGTTCATGTTCATACCAGAATGTTCTCTATCTTGTGTAGAGGGTTGTATGTAATCCAAAATATTTGGATCCACAGAGGGCATCTCCCTATCTTTGAACTCCATACAAGGTCCCACCTCTCTGCTCCTAAAATCCTGATCAGTCCTGGACCGGTGTCTACCTCTGAAATCTGAATGTGGCGTATCCCTGTCCCTAAAGTCTAGATCACTAGTACCTGAACCTCGACCTCTGAAGTCCACCTGTGTTCCATCTTTGTCCCTGAAGTCCAAATCAGACACATCTCTATTCCTAAAGTCAGAACGGGACTGATCTCTGGCCCTGAAATCCAAATCTGATAAATCTCGTCCCCTAAAGTCTGTGTGGGATCCATCCCGGCCTCTAAAATCTAAATCGTAAGTGCCCCGGCCCCTGAAGTCAGATGAAGGAGCATCCCTACCTCTGAAATCAACAGTGTGAGCATCCCTGTCTCTGTAGTTCATGTGAGATGTCTCCCTACCTCTATAATCCATAGAAGTCCCATCTCCACCCCGATAGTCCATTGGTGGTCCTTCTCTATCCCGAAAATCCCCAGAATGTATGTCCCTACCCCTGAAGTCCAACTGTGATGAATCTCTGCTCTGGAAATCAGAAGATGAAAAATCTCCCCCCCTGAAATCATGTCCAGGTCCCTCCCCTCCTCGATAGTCACCACGCAGTCCGTCTCTAGCTCCATAGCTGAAAGAATGCTCCTCTACATTTGCAAAGGGAGGCCCCGAATGCCCCTGGAAATCAAAGGGAAGTGAATCTCTGCCAGGAAAGTTGCCAGAGTGTCTCTCTTGAGCATGACTCTTAAGGGGAGGAGGAGGATAATCCCTGTTCCACCCGGGAGCAAACCTTTCTTCTTGGCTCCCACTGTAGAAACAAAGACAGTGTTATTCATATTGTCCAGAGAGTTTGAAATCTACACACCAGCATATTCTTCTCTAATCACAGCACATTCTTCTGTAAACATTTTTTTTTTTTTTTTGGCAGAGTTCTGTAACAAGGTCCTAGATCTGCAGAAAACAGCAATGTTTTGCTATTTTAAGACGAAGTGGCGGAGTAAACTTTTATGTTCCCATTTCAGAACACGAGGAAAGTCAACACAAGGTTTTCAACATGACTGCTGCAGAAAAAGCTTTCACCCAGTCCTGCAACAGGGAAAATCCGCAACACCAGATAAGCTAGCAATGGTGACACACTACAAAAAATTTCCATTTCCTACAGCCAGGGAACTTAGAATTCCAAGATCAACATGATGATTCCTATATGTCAAATAAATCAATGCACTATAAATGTATTACAGTAAATTTCAGGAGGTGTCTTTCTCATTTCTGCATACAACGATAATATTCAAAATATTTGATTACAGCTAAAGCATAGACACCACCCAGATCGGAATGGATGCACGCCCAAAATGAAGGAACACTGGCTGTAAATCACCAGTAGGAGCACACAAGGGTACACCAGCTGAGCATAAACCCTGGCCGCATCTAAAATCCAGTTCTACAGTGGCTCCACCTAGAAGCGCTCTCACCTGGGTCCTATTATTTTAACTACCCAAGAGTATCACAAAAGGCAGCATGAATTATGCTACAAAGCATATGTACGTCAACTTAGCCAAGAAACAGCATCTACCTTAATGCTGAAAGGGACGTAGAGAGAGCATTAGGCCTTCAAGTATTATCTCCAGGTCCCAAAGGAAGAAGCTGATATTCCAGATTCTAATGCCTCATACTAGTTTTTCACAGTAGTCAAATATATTTAAAAATAAGCAAAGTATTAAATTCACATCCTCAGTTTACAAAACTCAAGAGATAAATGAGAACTGGCCTACTCTTTCATTCTACCCGATTCTTCCCTTTGCCTAGCCTTCAGACCATTTACACACTTAGGCTTTGGTAAAAAGGAATTTAAATAGGCAATTAGATACCTAGGAGCCTGAGCTTAAGGGTGAGGGGAGGGTACAAAAAAAGAAAACAGGAAATGATCTGAAGGGCTATCTGCTATTTAGCAGTAAAACAAAAAGTATTAGGAAATCACATCCAACTCTGTTCTCTCCTACCAAAATATACAGGATATGACCCTCTGAGCACAGACTATACCACGAAAGAAAAACTCAAAGGACAACTGATTCTGGGTCACTCAGTTCAGGAGAAAGAGTTACAAGGCCAAACCCTTTCTTAAAGTAATAGGATTTCAACAACAGTAACCTGAACATTAGAATGATGCATATTTAATGGCTTTTCAGAACATGATGACTTCCATTAGCTCCCATTAACATTAGTTATGTCTGTGTGGTTCATCCCAAGAGGAGCAAGTTGAAACATTCTTCGTATTTTGCACTAAAATTAAGACATTATCACTAACTCTAGTGTCGCCCATATTTAAAATCATCAAATCCCAATAGTTAGCTTATAGGAAGACTTAAGCTTCAGCAAATACTCATGGGTGCTGAGGCATCTAAACCTATGTGTTTTCTGACCAGAGTGTTTCTAACACTGTCTTTGAATACCGCCCTGAAGATTATACTACCCTTTTAAGTTGGGAGGATCAAATAGATCTAGAGTAACCTACTGTACTAGCGTTCTTAGAAATGTATTTTATGCAGACTATTCAAGAAACAGTTCTATTAACATAAAATAGCAGCGATTATGAAAATCATTTTCAATCAAATAAAATTTAAGAGGCTGATAAACTAAAATGTAAAATTATTTTCCTGTAAGATACCTTTCTTTTTTTAAGGTTTTTTTTTTTGGACACAGAGAGAGAGATCACAAGTAGGCAGAGAGGCAGGCAGAGAGAGCAGGGGAAGCAGGCTCCACATTGAGCAAAAAGCCCAATGCGGGGCTCGATCCCAGGACCCCGAGAACATGACCTGAGCTGAAGGCAGAGGCCCAACCCACTGAGCCACCCAGGCGCCCCTGTAAGATACCTTTTTTTTTGGTAAGATACCTTTTTAAAAAAATCCAAATTAGTCTTCCAAAAAGTTATGCTATATAAACTACATCTCTCTTCTAGTCAAAGACTTTAAAAACAGCATGTAATAACTTATATTTAAACTAAAATTATGGGCACCTGGGTGGCTCAGTTGGTTGAGCAATTGCCTTTGGCTCAGGTCATGATCCTGCAGTCCCGAGACTGAGTCCCACATCGGGCTCCCTGCTCAGTGGGGAGTCTGCTTCTCCCTCTGACCCTCTCCCCTCTCATGCGCTCTCTCTCTCTCTCTCTCTCTCAAGTAAATAAATAAAATCTTAAAAGAAAAAAAAAAACTAAAATTAAGGTGGAGGAATATAATTTTAATAACAAACTGGTCAAACAAAAAATGTTCTGAAAATGTTTTTTCAAGTTACAAAATAGAGCTAAGGTTACCCAACATTTCTGAAGGCTTAACTACACAATCTAAATAAATAAAAATTTTTAAAAAATAATCTAAATTAGGCTAATTCTGTACGAAATAGACTTACTTACAAAATAGTTATCTATAAATATAAGTAAAAAAGGATAGATTACAACCTAAATATTTAAAAATGTTGATGTATAAGCCCACTGATCTAGACTAGGGATCGGTGAACTTTCCACAAAAAAGCCAGATAGTATTGGTATTAGGCTTTGCAGTCTGTCACAATTATTCAACTCTGCCATTGTGGCATGGAAGCAAACACACACAATATCTAAACATATGATCTTGGGTGTGTTACAATAAAACAAAAGTGAGCTAAAGACTATAATTTGCTGACCACTGACACAGACCTTAAATTTGAAAGGAAAAATGTACCCAGCATCATCACCATTGCTTTAACTTAAAGACTGCTGAGCCAAAAGTAAAGACCACTATCTAGTATTTATGAAACACTAGCTTTACTAAATATTTTATGGATTTTTAAAACTCAGTTCTCTAATTTTTCACTGGAACCCCCAGCTTCAAAATGATGAGAACACCTCTTGAATTTGTGTGATAAAATCTTGCAGACTGCCAATCCAAAAGAAAATTTACTAGTAACAGAAGTTTCAATTGGAGCATTTAAAAAATATATACATATATATTTATAACATACATATAAATATTTAATATATAATTTTAAAGATCAGATTTCTATGCCATATACCAAGTAAAATCATAAAACCATAAATCATAAAAATCACATTCCTTTGGTATTTTATTAATTGTAAGCATAATACAAAAGCTTTAAAAATACAGTCATCATCATTTATTATATTGGCTATAAAAAAATTAACTCCCTACAGATCTAAAATATAATCTACTAATAACTGAAAGGTACTACTTTCTCAACTCATCTTTGTACCCAGTAACACTTAATATTGAAAATGTACCTTAGAAAATTGCATCCCATAATTTTTTTTTCCTCAGAACTATTTTTGATAACTGAAACACAATTTGCCATGGGCCAAACACAGCTCTGGATTCTAGACATAAATTAGTGAAATTAACAAAACTTTTATTTACATATATAAATGTTCATGTATGTTTTTGCTAGCTTTCCTTATTTGCCAAGTATGTATTACTTTGTTAAAAATGATTTAAAAAAATAATTGGGGGATTATTTTTTAATGTTTAAAAAGTGCTGAAACAGGAGCACCTGGGTGTCTCAGTGGGTTAAAACCTTTGCCTTCAGCTCAGGTCATGATTCCAGGGTCCTGGGATGGAGCCCCACATCAGGCTCTCTGCTCAGCAGGGAGCCTGCTTCCTCCCTTTCTCTCTCCACCTACTTCTCTGCCTACTTGTGATCTCTGTCTGTCAAACAATAAAAAAAATCTTAAAAAAAAAAAGAAGTGCTGGGGCGTCTGGGTGGGCTCAGTGGGTTAAGCCTCTGCCTTTGACTCAGGTCATGATCTCAGGGTCCTGGGATCGAACCCCACATTGGGCTCTCTGCTCAGTGGGGAGCCTGCTTCCCCCTTTCTGCCTGCCTCTCTGCCTACTTGTGATCTCCGTCTGTCAAATAAATAAAATCCTAAAAAAAAAAAAAAAAAAAAAAAAAAAAAGTGCTGAAACATTGGGATGCTTGGGTGGCTCAGTCAGTTAAGTTTCTGCTTTCGGCTAAGCTCAAGTTCCCAGGGCCCTATGATTAACTTCCACATTGAGCCCCTTGCTTAGTGCGGAGCCTGCTTCTCCCTCTGCCTGCTGCTCCCCCGTTTGTGCTCTGTCTCTCTCCGACAAATGAATAAAATCTTAAAAAAAAAAAAAGTGCTGACACACAAAACACTTGGCATGCTCAGTATTCAACCTCACAAGCACTTTGGAAATGACTAGAAATTTTTTAAATAGTTTCTATTTTTAAAAACCAGAGCTATTTCTATACAAAGAAAATATCCCTCTTTATGATAGACCAAAAAATATTATATATCTTTACCATAAAATATTACAATTTCAGTATTCAAATTTCAAGACTTACCGAAAAGGTCCTGTTCTGTTAGCAGATCGAGAATCCCCCCACATCTCTTTCTATGTTAAGAGAGCCCAGTAAGTAGATCCTTTTGCTACCAAAGTCTGGTTATAATAGTACCTGTATAAAATAAACCACAAAATATAAACATATTAGAACATGAAGAAAAAAACTAAACTAATTTCTTCCACCTTGCTTTATCAGGAACAACAACAGGGATATTTTTGGAAGTCACTTTTAATTTTTTTTTTTTTTTTTTTTAATTTTAGAGAGAGGGAGGGAGCACGCATGCACTAGTGGGGTAAAGGGGAGAGGGAGAGGGAATCTCAAGCAGACTCCACACTGTGAGAGCCTGACGCAGGGCTTGATCTCATGGCCCTGAGATTACAACCTGAGCCAAAACCAAGAGTCAGGTCACTTAATTGGCTATGCCACCGAGGAACCCTAGAAGTCACTTTTAAACATTTACTTATTAATTTGTAACAAGAATAACAAGAAAAATACTTTTTTTTTTTTGAGGGAACGAGCAAGCGAGAGAGGTGGGGAGGGGCAGTGGGAGAAGAGGAGAATCCCAAGCAGGCTCAATGCCCAATGGTAGAGCCCAATGTGGGACTTGTTCTGACAACCCTGAGATCACGACCTGAGACAAAATCAAGAGCTGGACACTCAACCAACTGGGTCATCCAGGCGCCCCAAGAGAAATAAATTTTTTTTAAAAAAGACTTTATTTATTTATTTGAGAGAGAGATCACAAGTAGGCAGAGAGGCAGGCAGAGAGAGGGGGGGAAGCAGGCTCTCCACCGAGCAGAGAGCCTGATCCCAGGACCCTGAGACCATGACCTGAGCCGAAGGCAGAGACCTGACCCACTGAGCCACCCAGGCACCCGGAGAAATACATTTTTAATTAAAAATTAAATTTAAACATTAAAATTAAATTTAAAACATTTTAAATTAAAAATGTATTTCTCTTGGGGTGCCTGGGTGGCTCAAGTCAGTTAAGTGTCTGCCTTCAGCTCAGGTCATGATCCCAGAGTCCTGGGACTAGTCCAGCTCCCCGCTCCGCAGAGAGTCTGCTTCTCCCTCTGCTTCTGCTCCTCTCTCCGACTCATGATCACTCTCTCTCTAAAATAAATAAAGTCTTAAAAAAAAATGTGCACTCTGGGGCATCATAAGTTTCTCAATGTTATAAGAATGGTTTATGTTTTCTAAATATTTACTAATTTTTCTATCCTCCATTCACCTTCCTTTTTGGAAACAGCGTCTTTAATATTAACACCATTCAGTCCATGGCTGATCCTACACAATCTTAACTAGTCAATCAGAATAGTCTACCACTCTCATCACAGTAATTGCTCTAAAAATGGGCATGTACCAAGATGTACCATACTATGAGATAAACATTATTTAGAATTAAAACAAATCAAAACCTAGCAGGAAAAGCTCTTTATCTGCTTCTTAACTGTCCGACTGTATCAGCAAGAGAACTATTAACAGAGAACAGAGATTCCTCTTTACCAAAAAACTTATCTGCGTAACAGGGCAAAGTCTGTTTCTCAAACATCTCTTCTCACCTTTATGCTAAGGGTCTTCCTCTCCTTTGTACTCTCAGGTCCCTAACCCTCTCCTTATTTGGTATGTCATATAAACCTCATGTTGCCGGACCGCCTTGGAAATGTCATGTTTGCATGGATTCCTCATACATGGATTCCCCATATGTATGACACTATATTTAATTTTCTCCTGCTAAAAGATAAATCAATAAAATTAAAACTAAAAATGGGCATGCAACCCAAGTCAACCTGAGAAGTCATCTACACAACCTCTGCTGAAGTTACTAAAAAAGATGCAAACTTTCAATGCCATGGATTTGGCAATAGCTTCTTAAATATGACACCAAAAGCACAAAGAAAAAATTAAGTAGACTTCACCAAAATAAAAAACTTTTGTGCAAACAAAGTACACTACCCAAGAGAGTGAAAAGACAAACCACATTTCAGCAAAATGGCAGATGAGGAAGTTCCAAAGTCTCATTCTTCCACAGAAACATCAAAAAACAGCAGTAAATGTTTGATCCAGCTCTGCTGGCTTAGAAAACAGCCAAAGGTGCGTAACAACGAAGAGAATGTGCAATCAAGAAAAAGCTATCTTCAAAATAACAGTCAAGTTTTGTGGTGGTTTCATTCACCCCTGTCCCACCCACCCTTGCACAGGCAGAGGTTTAATCTTGAAGAAATGG